AGCTGGCAGAACACCTGTTAGAAATGGATAAGTGATATTTGAAACACCAAACAATACAAGTAAGACTGTTCACACAACTTTTGCTGCACACTTTCCGGCATCAACAATTTTAAGTTTATTGAATGACTGATGAAAAAGCAACAAACTAGAATTAACTTAGCATTTTATTTTTCTTCTTGGAAACACAAAGAGCCCATTGAGAATAAGTGCCCCAAAATGAATCCTTACCAACTCAACAATCTCACAAATAAGTGGAAAAGTCCTGTAAAATGCTAATTTTTCTTTCTTTTATTTGTTTATGTTGCCCTTACCGCCTGCTAACTTTCATAATATTTTTTATTTTTTAAATGTCTAAATATATTTTACAACTAAAAACAGAAAATATCTATTAAGAAAATATTAACTTTACCTTTACTATCTTGAACTACTAAATGTTTACTTACTTAAAGTAAGTAACCATTTTTTTTATCTACTACAAGATAGCAAGGCTTCAAATTTTACAACTTAAATCTAGAAGGTATGTGAAGAAAGAACCTAGTTGAATTTCACAGGATTTATCATCAAACAAAAAAAAAATGAAATATGGCTTGATTTTTAAAAGTCCCAACATTCAAATGATGTATCTGATTCTCTGAGAACTCATTCCTGACCAATCAATAGCATTTACGGCACCCTTATAATGCATCTACACCATGTATGTCAAAATTCAGAGCAACTTTTATTCAGGGGAAAACCAGAAACAGAGAAATCAGTTAAAATTTGTGCCAAAAACCAGTCATTCAAAGATAAAAGCATTGAAGAGGATTATGAAAGTGAGAATGAACTTTAGGGGCAAATTCTAGAGACCGACAAAGTATGAAGTAACAGAGCTTGGAAATATAGTCAATTTAGCATAAAAGAAAGGAGCAAATTTGGTACAGTGACAGTGGCCTTAGTGCATAGCTGATAATATGATTTTTAAAATGCCGAATTGAATAATAATCTAAGTTAATTAGCAATCTAGCAGCCTCATACTAAGGCAGACTACATGTGTTGCACAACTCAGTAAACACTATTTTTTCACATGTTCAACAAATGTGATGAAGACAAAACAAAAACAAATCTTTAAGAACTTAAAGCTCTGGTAAAACTATAGAAATTTTTATCTGCAGAAACTAGGACATGTTGGAAATCCCATAAGTGATATTGCAAAAGCCTGCATTTATAAGAAGTCAGATGGAAAAATTAACCAGATCCAATGTCTACTTGTATCTTGAATAATTCTTGTTCTGTTATTTCATAAATGTTTCATTTTTACATCATCATAATAACCCCCAAATGCATTAGTATTATTGGCCTATTTCCTAGGCCAAAAGGGGGCTGAGGGAGTAGTATCAGATCAATTTGTATAGTCTCTGATTAAAAACAAACAATTCATGTTCAAGTATTGACCACACTAACTATAGAATACTGTTGAAATTCACCTTTCATGAATGTTGGCTTCCACTGTTGTGGCAAAGGTATCCTAAAATGACTTTTACTTTAAAATGTCTCAAACCGAAACAAGACATTTTCCTAGGTAATATCTGGAAAAAATTACAGCAACCTATGAAAACCAGAAAATATAACCAGCAACCCTAAAAACTGTAAAATAATGACCAAGATTTTTTTGCTACGTATAAAAATTATATTAATAATATACTACCTCTACCTGCTTGCTTCTATCAAGAAATTATGAGAAAATAAGAAAGCTACTACAGCTAGATATCAAATATTAGTTATCAGTTTTCTTTGAACCTGCTTTTAAGTAAAAAAGTTTATAAATTTTACAAATTTAACAAAATCAAGCACCAACTCACACTGCATTAGTCTTTTAAAAAATCCAAATACGCAAGTACAATGGGCATTCAAGCCCACTTTCAAGTTGTAATTTTTAAGATTTTATGACAACCTAATAATGTCACAGACCACCATATTGTCAAGAACTATTAATTTTATGTTGAAAAGTTTAGTTATTACCCTGGCTTTAACTCATAGTATTGGGTTACTCCTTAATTATAGAAGCTATAAAATTAATTCTAGAGCAAAGGAGAAATATGGGGAAAATTTTAACTTGTAGTCATAGCTCTTTTTGGATGACATACAGAACTCTCTTAAGCATCTGGTTCCACCATCAATGCCTTAATCATTTGCTGCAAGTTGGTGACTCCCAATTTAGGATGTTGAAGTCGTAAAAAAAAATTTACTGTCAAATGGCAGTAATTAAAAGTTCAGATTATGGAATCAGATTGTCTGCAGTCTTGGCCAAAGCTCAAAAACCTCTCTTTGCCCTAGTTTCACTTCCAAAAAGTGTTGTCATAGAAATAGAGTATTGTGGAAATTATAATGTACTTTTAAAGAGGTTTTTGGTATATGGTAAATATAGCTATTATTATAGCGATTTTCTGTAGTGCCTCAGAATCCACAGCATCTTGAAACTACTATCTCTCTATGTTTGAAAAACTATCAACTCAACAAGCTCTGATTCTAAATTCCAAGGACCAAAAAGGGACTTTTAAAAATCTGACTCTTGACTGAGATGGAGTACAAATACTTCTTCCTCTTTCTCTCACTAGTACAGCTAAAAACTCTGGTTGTCATATGCAAAACACACATAAGAAGACTATGGAAAGTGCAAAGGAGATAACCAGCTGGGACCTCAGGACTCTAGGGGATAAGCAGGATTACAAGTTCCCTAGATGTTCTTTCTGTTTCACATATCCTAGAATGAGTCAGCATTATCTTCAATGCACTCAAGGGACTAATATGCAAATGAGAAATGTATAGTTGTATATCGTGGCTATAGATTTCAGCCTTAAAGACTTAATTACTTGCTCAGTTTGTGAACCTCCTACATATTCCAACTGGTTTTCTCTTTTTTGACTCCCCAGGAAGATGGTTTCTCTTCCATCTGGCTGTCATACCCAACTCAATTTAAACTCTTTTCACTGTTCACCTGCAAACTAATGAATCTGACTTGTTTGTTTTGTTTTCATTTCTGGTTCTCTTTTCATTTTTCCCATGAGGGTGAATAATGTTCTAGCCATAACATCTTGGATCCCAATAAGTAGTGTTTATAACTACTGTTTTGAACCCAGCTAAAAAGGATTCTTACCTTACCGTCACTATAAGATTCTTCTAATTGTCAATCATTCCACTTCCTATTTGGGCATCTGCATTTAGGACAATTATTCTCTACAGACTTCATTTTACATGAATTAATCTTTCCAACCCACACCCAGTATCCACTTCATTGTTCTAATTTCTCCTATTTAATTTTTTGCCCTTTAAAAGTAAAAATGATCAATATTTTCTAAGATTTACTCCCTCACTATCCTATAAACTTTTATCTAAAGTCTATCTCATACTTAAACTTGATCTTTGCCCTTCCTCCCCTCGCCATGTGTAGATATGTGTATACCTGTATGGATGTATGTATATGTATATCTATAAAACTTTTACAATATAAAGAATTCATTTGTATACTATGCTTTATCTTGTGTTCCCCAATTATTTCATGTGTTTAGTCTTGTCCATCAAATGAGATCACACGCTTATTGAGGAGAGGAATTAAATCATATTCTTATAATGTTTCTTCCACTATAGATATCATGGTGCTAAACACAAAACAGGTATCAATTTACTCATTCAACACATGACAATTAAATTCGCACTAGTTAATGTGCGGAGGGCTGGGGATAAGAGGAAAAGAATTTACAGAGTACTATAAAGGGTTTACAGAGTACTATCCGACAGTCAAGGAAATATTTTAAGGTATATATTGAGAATCAAATTTAGGATATATTCAAGACATTATGGAAGGACAGAAAGAAAGTATCTATCTCTGCCAGGAAAAGTCATCACAGAGAAAAAATATTTTCTTTAAATAGAATCATGAAGGATAATAAAAATTTCCCAAGTAAAGAAGAGCTGGAATAACATTCAAGAAACAAGGAACAGCAAGTTCAAAGGAACAGAATCAAGAAGGAATGAGCAAGCAGATGAACTGAGGAACTATAGAAAATTCATAGGCTCTGAGTACAGGTAGTGACAAGTAACAAGGTTAGAATGGCAGGCAAGGATTTAATGAAGCTGAAGTGCCCTATAAGCCACAAGACGTAATCCAGGAGGCATTGGGGGTCACTGAAGAGAGAGTGATAGGATCAAATATCCCTTCTGCTGATGAAATAGTAGACAGCTTGGAAAAGGGAAAAGTGCACAGATGTTAAGAAGCTATTTTAGAGTATAACTGAGAAATAGTGAGGATCTGAGCTAAGGGATGAGGAAATGCGATCATAATAATTGAAAGCATACATATGGATGAACACAAACTGAGTGAGTAGAGAGAAGAGCCGAAAGAAAAGACTCTGAGTAACATCAATGTTTAACACAAATCTTTACGGAAAGTCAAATCCATTCTTAGTTTGAGAATAAATTAAATGTTTTTCTATCTTTAAAATCGTAGTTCCCAATGTATAAACAAGAAGAAACAGGTCAAGAATAATATTTTAAAGCCTAAACTAGAAACCATGTTTATCTATCTATTGATCTTGGATTGTCTTTCAAACACTAAGTGTTCAGAGATAACAGAATTCCATCTTCTCTGCCCACTCCCAACTTGTCAAAGTGAAGGGGCTGCAAAAATACCTGTTCATAAGGTTTTCTTTTGAAAATGGGTATAAATGAAATTCACTGGAAGGCAGTAAATAAAGTCTACAATCACTCTTAACATATGGTCTCTGCACCATTTGGCTTCCTGTCTTCGCTAGTACCTCCCTCTTTACCCTACCCACCCCCCAGGAATTCAAGTTACTGACTTAATACCTTAACTAACTATTATGTGACCTGGTTAGACATATGGTGAACTGCCTCAATATAAGTTGACATACAAAATCATTTTATGGTTTTCCCCTTAATATCAATTATTTAATTTCTATGAGGTATACTATCATGGCAAATCTGAATTGATTTAGAATACCAACCAGATAAATATACTGCTGAGTTTTGTAGCACACAATGCTCTTGGTGATTCATACAAGGTAGACCTACTTCAGATACATTCACTCTCTTGACCACGCTGAAACCTATAAAATAAAAGAAATAATAACTGCAAGATTGATATTACGTTTTAACAACAACAAAAAGTACACAAAAACTAAATCACTCTACTACTGAAGGCAACATAACTTTAGAAAGATAAAGCCATTTCTCCTTAAATCATACGCCAATATCTATTTATTTTGTTCGCCCTGCTAATACCCTCTTAACATCTACTATGTCCACGTATTATGCTTATATTGAGAAATATATGAAATCTTGTATACTCCTTCAGGTGAAGTGACTGCCAATAACTGAATGCGAACGGCACCTATTCAAACAGCTGCCATCTTATCATTTAGTCCCCTGCTCTAATATAGCCTCCCTGAAAGTTATTCCCTATTCGGGCTAATATAACATCTCACACATATTCCAGTT